GCGACCAACTCGACTTGCGATCAGAGTCATGGAACGGATTAAGTTCGTAAGTAGAGGTACCACTGTACTAATAAAATGATTTACTGGAAAAGGATATTATTTTAGGAGTTTAGACAGTCTCATTCTTGCTTATCTTCCTGAACACACTTGAGAAACCCAGAATACTGATGCATGGGGTTGTTTTCTTGTTTTTTGAGGACATGTTATTGGATGGGTAAAACATCAGTATTTAAAATGTAGCTAAAAAAGAATAGTAGGCAAAAAAGTCTGACCCAACATCAGTAACTGTGGAACAATTAAATTGGAGCATCTCCAAATAAACTGTATTGCAAGATGGGATATGACAATTAATAGGCCTATACATTTGCTTGATACTATTAGCAAGCTATATGCCAGACATCTCCAAGCAAATTTAAGGGTCTGGTTGGAGCAAGAACATCTGGTAGATCAGGCAGGCTTCAGTGAAGGTTGGACCTTTGCCTGATACTCCAGCACCTTGTTAAGAAGTACTGTTCAAATGCTATAATTTCCTTATACGCAGTCTTAATTGGTATGAAACCAACATTTCATTCTACTTTCTGTGATATAGTCTGGAGAGAATTGAAGGCTACCTCGATTGATTCTCCACTTACTGTTTCTAATAGCAAAATTGATTTAATAATTGAAAGCATATTGAAAATAATACAGTTTCATCCCATACAGGAAGAGAGGATTGGTTGTTGGCTGACTTCCATGCGGAAGGGTTGCCATGCGTGGGGCCACTGCAGAAAAACAGCCTGCCATGAGTTGTTGATGCTCCACAGGAGTCCAAAGATTAACTAATGATGCCTCAAGGATACAAGAGTTTGTCACAATTAACTTTGTTCTTCTTTTTATATACTTCCAATGCACACACTTCTGTAATGTTCTCACAATTGGGAAAAAAATCCTATCTAAATTATCTGTGGGTAAACCCAATTTTATTACCTGGTTAATGTGAGATGATACACAATTTATTACCGAAGCAGCAGAATGACCTACATCCTAACAGTTCTGCTCTCACCTCCAGGAATACAAAAGCTGGTTTTGGCAGGAAGAGTAGGAGAAGCCATTGAAGCAACACAGCAGCTATATCCAGGGCTTCTAGAGCATAACCCTAACCTCCTATTCATGTTAAAGTGAGTATGGTAAATGCCTTTCTGCAAAGAACTGTGGTGTTTAGAAAGTCAGGAAGCAGAAATAGTAAAAGAACAGTAGCCTGGCTCATAATCTCTTCTTAGCAATTCAGGGCCAAAAATGTGAATGAATCCTCCATAAACAAAGAGTTGGGGGGCAGAATGGAACCTTCTTTGAATGAAGGGCGACCTGTCAGAGAAAAACTGAAGGTGATAATTCTTCCAAGAAATATGGTTTGACCTGTCCCAAATAATTGCAGCTTCACACCACCCCCTCCCCATTTCAGGGTGCTGCTGTAAGTAGCAACCCTTGATATTTTTCCAGATGCAAGGCAGCTTAAGAGGAACCTCTTTTTAGGGAAAGTGAATTGGGATTCTTTCTCAAACAGCGCAGGATAACTTCCTTTTCTTCTCACTGTTAAGATCAGGCAAGCAAAGACTATAGGCCAGGATCAGTGATTTTACTTACAGAATGCTTCTTTCTAAATGCTGTAGAGAATTTAAAAGGCAGGCCCTCAGATTCACAATCTAATTATCTAGGTTGGTAGATCTCTCAGGGATCTGATCCTGCACCACTTTGATGGGGGAATTGTGCATTTTTGTTCCAATTCTTTTGGAGCTGTGAGCCATTTGCAGTAGGGAGGTCAGACCGAGAATGCTATTTTCTCTGTGTGCTTCTAGAGAACCTTGCCAGTTGTCAGACGCAGCTAATGCAGAATGTTAGTGTACTACTGTATTTTGCACAAACCATTGCCCTGCCTATTCTTTTTTCCGTATAATTTCCCACTCACCTGCTCTCTTGTGCATTCCCCCTGTGCATTCCTAGGTGCCGGCAGTTTGTGGAAATGGTGAATGGAACGGACAGTGAAGTGCGATTTTTCAGTGCCCGCAGCCCCAAATCACAAGACAGCTACCCTGATTCTCCCAATCTGAGTCCCAGACATGGCTCCAATAATTTGCACATTCACGGCACTGGTAGGCATTTGTTCCTCTACTAGATCAGCCATCTACTTGGCTTTGGGCTAACTTTGTGCCACTTTTCACTCTCTGTTTGGAAGCCAGTATCAGAACTTCTTCCCTAAATTCTGTGCAGTGCCTTCTGTAGTGGAGAATCCACTTGTACCCATTCCATAACTTGGTATATGTTTCTGGCATAAGCTCTTTAGACAAGAGTTTATGCCAAGTTAAGATTTTGCCAGTGACTTTATCAAATTTGGTTATCTCTCTCCTGACTTCAGATTCTCTCTGTGAAGTGGATTTGTTAAGCTGTGCCTAGTGGGACTTAAACGTTTAAACATTCAAGAAGAATTGGGCTCCCCGACCTGACTTCTCTTTCTGTCTTCAGGAGCAGACAGCCCAAGCTGTAGCAATGGGGTGACCTCCATAAAAAACAAACAGAGCCACAGTAAATATCCTGCACTGAGTTCGTCATCATCATCCTCTTCCTCATCATCCCCTTCATCCGTGAACTACTCAGAATCCAACTCCACAGATTCTACCAAATCCCAGCAGCATAGCAGCACTAGCAACCAGGAAACCAGGTGGGGCAGAAGCTTTCTAGGAAGGGTCGGGTAATAGCCAACCATAAACACACTGACACCTCTTTCCGCAGTCCAGCTAAATTCATTTTCTGTGTAAATAATGCTATATTGTAACCGCCCCAGCTGATGGCGGCAGCACCTAGCTGACCTTGGCTGATCTCTGAATTAATTAAGGCCAGGTCTAATTAGTATGTGGATATGATCATCAGTTAATCCCAAGAATGTAGGCTAGACTGGAAAGCCAAAACAACATCAAAGAAGGCAGTGTCAACCACTTCCATGCTGCAGCCAAGAAAACTCTCTGGATGCACCCAGGAAGTCCCCAGGAGTCAAAGTCATCTTGAAGGAGATGTAATTTTTTTGTTACTGTATCAGTCTATTGGGAATTGGTAAATTTTCAGCCACCTAGTAGATTTCAAAATGTCGTACAACGACATGGGCACCAAAAAAAGACTGTGGTTGATCTTACTCTTGAGATTGTGAGAATGCC